CTCTTTCCCCCATGGGGGGCTTTGTGGTTCCTTCTTCTTCTTCATTTTTTTGGCCCTGTATTTTGTTTTTATCTCCTAAAAATTGGGTCCCTGTCGAGCCCTGGGGGCTCCTCTTAAGATCCCACCAGCCCTGTCCTACACTTGAAGTTGTAGGAATTAGGAATGAGGCTGGTTGCTGGATAAATAATAGGTTATTGAGGGGAAAATGTATAAAATTTTAATATTAATAATGATAATGATGATGTTTTTAGTGCTGGTTTTGCCAGTGCTGGAGCCCAGTTTTGGCAGCTCCAAGGTCTTTGCTCCTAACCCAACAATGTCCTTCATGAATCCCCTGCTCTGGGGATGGAGGCAGCAGGTTGGGACAGCTGAAATTCCAGCTTGGAACCAGAAGAAGATGGACCAGAGGGACGAGGGGGTGGGCAGAGCAGTCCAGGATCCCTCTTAGGAGCATCCATACAAACCAGGGGTGCTCTTGGATTCGCGGAGCTGCGTCGCCAGAAGAGCCAAGCTGCTTTTTTGCACTGGAAGGAGAAGGTGCAGGGGGCTAGAAAGGATGGGTTGTTTGTTTGGGTTTTTTTTGCAGTGAGACACCAAAGCACCCCTAAAATATGTTGAAAAGCCAAAAAACAACCAAACAAAGCCATCTGGGTGTGATCAGGTGCCACCTCCCCAAAAATAAGGTGGTTTTTTTAGGCTTCGACCCTGTTGGTTTTAAGAGATGGGTGTTGAGATGCTCAACCCTGAAGCTTGGTGGCTTTCCTGGGAAGCTCCAAAAATTTTAGGAGCTGGGAAGTTCCCAAAAACCCCCAGCCTGGCACTCACCAGCCCTGGTGGGAGAAGCTGCCAAAGGAGAAGCCACGTTCTCCACAGGCATGTGGGATTAATCAGGGAGGAGTCACTGCAGGGTTGGAAATGAGGGGATTTCTTCCCAAATCTTGATCCACCCTTGGGATTCTGATCCCTGCCCAGCCCTGGGAGGATGTGCTCAACCCCACCATCTCACTCTTGGCTGCTTTTCCTAGAGAACCCTCCATATTATCCCAAAAACCCCTCAATAACCAACTCCTTTCCCGCAGCCAACGCGACCTTGTTCGATGCTTCAGCTCCAGTGGCACCAAACACCACTAACGTTTCTCTGGTAAGTGGGATTGCTCATCCCAAGGGGAAATCTGGGACAAGGGAGGACAAATCCCAAGGGCTTTTCCACCCTTGGGAGTGAGGGAAACATGGGATTTGCACTGATTTGGGTTCCCACTTGGCAGCACCATAACCCATATTTTTTGGCAGCTCCAGGGTTTTTCAGCGGTTTTAGGGATCCCAGAGAAAATTTCCCTTTCCTTGCATTCTGCAATTGCTAGAAATTAGAATTTTTCTTGATTTTTGGCCAGAAAATCCCCTTTTCTTTGCACCTGCAGTTGCTTAAACTCCTAAATTTGCTTTTTTAGGCAGGGAAATGCCCCTTTTTCTCAAGTTCCTTGCATGTTGCGATGGCGTCGAATGTTAATTTTGCTGCTTATTTTTTTATATTTTTTTTTTTGGCTGGAAACATTTTTTTATTTTTTTTTCCCATGCAAGTTGCAATTATTTCAAATGCTAATTTTGCCTTTTTTGGGGGGGTTTCTCCCCAGTACAATGCTATTAACCTAACAGCTCTGGACTGGACTCAGCTGAGTAAGAAGGAGTGTCTGAAATACGGTGGGAGCTTGGTGGGAAAATCCTGTAAATTCGTGCCTGACTTGGCCCTCATGTCCTTCATCCTCTTCTTTGGGACCTACTCCATGACCTTGACCTTGAAAAAATTCAAGTTCAGCCGCTATTTCCCCACCAAGGTAAGAAATGAGTCAAGATTCACCTTCCTCTTTGCCACAAGGGGAGGAAAAACAGATGGAAAATGCTCCAGGAGAAGGAATCTGTCCTTCCAGGAGATGTTGGGAGCAATTAGGAGGATCCTCCCCGAAGTTTTAGCTGCTGGTTTAGATCTTGCATGTTGAAGAATCCAGAAAAGGGGATAAATGTACATTACCCATTACCCATGGATGAGAGGAGCTGGCAAACCCCAGGGAAGGATGCTGAAGTGGGAGCAAACCTCTCCATTCCAGAACCAGCCTCTCCATCCCAGAAACCAGCCTCTCCATCCCAGAAACCAGCCTCTCCATCCCATGAACCACCCTCTCCATCCCATCAACGACCATGAACCACCCTTTCCATCCCGTGAACCAACCTCTCCATCCCAGAACCACCCTTTCCATCCACAAACCACCCTCTCCATCCCAGAAACCACCCTCTCCATCCCAGAACCACCCTCTCCATCCCATGAACCACCCTCTCCATCCCAGAACCACCCTCTCCATCCCATGAACCACCCTCTCCACCCACAAACCACCCTCTCCATCCCACAAACCACCCTTTCCACCCATGAACCACCCTCTCCATTCCATTAATTCCCCTTCCCACCCCCATTTCCCCATCTTGCCTCCAGGTCAGGGCTTTCATTGCCGATTTTTCCAATGTCTTCTCCATCCTCCTCTTCTGCGCCGTCGACGCCTGTTTCGGCCTGGACACCCCCAAGCTCCACATCCCCAGTATCATCAAGGTTTGACCTTCACCTTTCCCTCCAGCTCCTCACCACTTTTGGGACAAAATCACAGCTCCTGCAGGATCTGGGCACCTTCTTCATCTCTACTTTTGTCTTTTTTTTTTTATTTTTCTAACTCTTTGACTTTTTTTCCTTCTTTTCTCGTTTTTTTCCCTCCTTTTCTCTTTCCTTCCCACCTCTCGCTGCCACAGCTGCGTAAACTTATTAGTGATTTCTCTATCTTTATGTCCATACTAATGTTTGTGGGGCTGGATGTGCTTTTTGGACTCAACACCCCAAAGCTCCAAGTGCCTACTGATTTTAAGGTAAAATAATAAATAATAATAATAATAATAATAATAATAATAATAATGACAGCAACAATAATAATGATGACAACGACAAACCAAGGATGGTTTGGGGAGTCCTGATGAGCCATCCCAGGATGTTTTGGGGTTGAGGAATGTGGCTGCTGGGTTGGGGATGGATGGTGGGATCTGGGGGGGGATGTGGGGCTTCCTGAAATGGGTGTCCCACCTGGGGGGAAATCTGAAGGGTGCAAACCTTCCTCTTTCCTCCCCCCAGCCCACCCGAGTGGACCGAGGCTGGTTTGTGTTTCCCTTTGGGAAGAACCCATGGTGGGTTTACCTGGCCAGTGCCCTGCCTGCCCTGCTGGTCACCATCCTCATCTTCATGGACCAGCAGATCACGGCTGTCATCGTCAACAGGAAGGAGCACAAGCTGCGGGTGAGCAGAGACCTGCAGGGACACCTCCCTGCCTTGGGGACCACACACAGCCCTGCCTGCATCCCTGCCCAAATCCCTGCCTGCACCCCTACCCGTATCCCTTACTGTCCCCCTGCCTGCTCCCTGCCTGTATCCCTGCCCAAATCCCTGCCTGCACCTCTGCCCACATTCCTGCCTGCACCTCTGCCTGCACCTCTGCCCACATCCCCACTTGCACCCCTGCCCATATCCCTGCCTGCACCCACTTCTGTGTGCAGCTCAGGTGATATGGGGTGCCTCAGGGTGATGCAGGGTGCACAGTGGCAATGTGGGGTGCCTCAAGGTGATATGGGGTGCCTCAGGGTGATGCAGGGTGCACCACAGGGACACAGGGTGCCTCAGGGGGTTCAGTTGGGGTGTTGCAGGGGGCATCCCAGGCAAAACTCCACCCCCCCGGCTGAACTCTGAGGTGAAGAGAGGAGCAGCTTCATGAGCCATGTCAGCCCTCCTGGGTGCTGTGTTGCAGAAAGCTGCGGGCTACCACCTGGACCTCTTCTGGGTGGGCATCCTGATGGCTGTCTGCTCCTTCATGGGGCTGCCCTGGTACGTGGCAGCCACTGTCATCTCCATCGCCCACATTGACAGCTTGAAGATGGAGACGGAGACCAGTGCCCCGGGGGAGCAGCCCCAGTTCCTGGGGGTCAGGTGAGGAAGGCTCAGCCCCACTCTTCCTCAGGGTGGGGGAAAACCAGAGGCAGAAGCAGGTCCAGCCAAGGTGGCCTCATCCTGCTTTTCTCCCCGTTCCAGGGAGCAGAGAGTGACGGGCATCATCGTCTTCGTGCTGACGGGAATTTCCGTCTTCCTGGCTCCGATCCTGAAGGTGAAACATCCCCCTTCCCTCCTTCCTGCTCCTTCCCTCTGGGTGTTTGGGGATCTGGGAAGGAAAAGCTGGATGTTACCCATCCTGCGGCCCCCAATGTTGGTCCCTGGGAAGGAGCTGCCACCTTCCTTGGGATGAGCTCCATGTTTTTCCATGTCCTCAGTACATCCCCATGCCGGTGCTCTACGGCGTCTTCCTCTACATGGGTGTCGCATCGCTGAACGGCATCCAGGTAAGAGCTGCTCCTCCTCCACCTCCTCCTCCTCCTTCTGGCCACGAAGGGGTCCTACACTGAGATAAAAAAGGGGATTTTGACCCCAAAATATGCACGTGTCCAACATTTCTAGCCATGTGGGCCAGCAGATGTCCAAAACCCTCTAAGAAACATCAAATCGGCCCAAACTCTCCATTTTTATGGCTAAAAGAGAGTTTATCTGGGCAACCTTGGGAGCCTGGAGATTGGGGCCAAGGGCTGACACCAGCCTTCATACCACCACCAGTTCTGGGACCGCTGCAAGCTCTTCCTCATGCCAGCCAAGCACCAACCTGACTACGTCTTCCTCCGGCACGTGCCGCTGCGCCGCATCCACCTCTTCACGTTGGTGCAGATCATCTGCCTGGCTGTCCTCTGGATCCTCAAATCTACTGTGGCTGCCATCATCTTCCCTGTCATGGTAAGGTCACCCCCCAGGCCTCATGTAGAAGGGAATTCTGGCTTGGTCCCATGGTGGTGGTCTCCATGCAGATCCACCTCTTGCATCTCTCCCCGCTTAGATTTTGGCCCTGATCCTGGTGAGGCGGCTGCTGGATTTTGTCTTCTCTCAACATGACCTGGCCTGGATTGACAACATCATCCCTGAGAAGGAGAAGAAGAAAGAGGATGATAAGAAGAAGAAGAAAAAAGGCAACAAAGGAGATGGCAGCAGTGATGAGGAGGTGGGTGGGGGCTCCTGTGGATGGTGAGGGCATCCCAGACCAGCTGGGGAGGGAAAGGTCCCACCAGAACCTCCAGGTTGGTGGGTTTGCAATGAAGTTCTTTGATTCCCAGAGAGGTCTCACTGCCTGGCTGATTGAGGGGCTTTAAGTGATGCTTAGGGGCTGGCTGGAGGCTCCAGGGAATGCTCAAAGTGTCCAGAAACCTGGAAAATCATGGCAAAAATGAAATCCTTCAGGAGAAGACCTGAAAACCCATGGCTGAGGGTACAGCACCCATCGTAGGGTGACAAAGCATCATTAAACCAAACAACCCCCTGCTGCAGACCCTTCCCAGGCTGAGAAGAAGAAGATAAAGCCTCCTTCTCTTCCTTCTGTGGACGTTTTGGGTCCCTTTGGGTGCTCCAGGTGGTTTTGGAGGCTACCCAAGCGTTGCCTTCACCGAATTTCCTCCTACTTTTCTTCCCCAGTTCCCACCTCCCTCAGTCATTAAGATCCCCATGGAGCCCCTGCCAGTGCAGCCCCACAACGGGGGTTCCCGTTGCCTCAGCCGTAAGTAAAGAGCTCAGGGAGCTGCTCCCACAATTCCCAACTGCTTCCTAACCCCTCCCAAACTGGGATCCCCTCGGCACTAACCCAAACATGCAGCCTGGATCCATCCCTCCCGAGTCGGTTGAAGAGTCTGCTCCATTTCAGGCAGGTTGGAGAAGGTGGAGCAGGCTCAGGTTCTGCTGAGAAGTTGCTATTTCAGGTGATTGGAAAACCAGGATTCTCCTGGGTCTCCAAAAAAAGGGATATTTGGGAAGTCCTGAGCCCAAAAAGCAGGGATGCAGAGCTCGTGGTGGTGGTATCCTGGCTGTGGAGGAGCAGGTTGTGCCAAGACAGCCAAGACCACCAACATTCCAAAGAAACCTGGGTGAGGTTGTTCCAGCTCAGGTCCAGGTTGCATCCTGATTCCAATGAGTTTTAAGGTGATCAATCATCACATCTGTCCTCAAGTTACTGCTTGTAGGGGCTGGTGGGACCTTTCTTCTTTCTCTGATCACTTCAGCATTTCCCAGGAGCTTTTTATCCTCCTCCCACCTTGGAGGATGCAGGTTGGAGTTGGGGGGGTTGAGTGGGTTGTTTTGGGGGGGCTCCTTCCTCATCCAGGCTGTGTTTCCCACTAGGAAAGAGGTCCTCCACCTGGAGCTTTGCGTTCTGATTCCTCCCCAAATGGTTCAGACCTGGATCGCAGGTAAATGGCACCCAAGGGGTCCCCCCACCCATTGTCCTCCAGCCCAGGAAACACCTTTGGGATCATGATGCTCCAGTCAATGTCCTTTGGCCATTGCTGCAATAAAGAAATGAAATATCTGAGGGTATTTTTGCAGCACCCCTTGGAATTGTGGGTGCTTTGATTCCTTGGCCCCCACTGTTGGGATGTTGGGAGTGGGGTGACACCCCCAGCCTGGCACGAGGGGGTTGTAGTAATAAAAATGCCACTGGGTGGCAGCCACAGGGGTTTTTTATGGAGTGGGATGGACACCTGGAACCTGAAAGCTTGGGATTGTTCTCCACCTGTAGCTGAGAATTGATTGTGTTAAGGGCAAACATCTCACAGAGTCACAGGGTGCTGGGGTGGGAAGGGACCTCTGGAGATCATCCACCCAACCCCTGCCAGAGCAGGGTCACCTCCAGCAGGTCCCACAGGAACACCTCCAGCTGGGGTTGGGATGTCTCCAGAGAAGGAGCCTCCACAGCCTCTCTGGGCAGCCTGGCCCAGGGCTCTGCCACCCTCACAGCCAACAAGTTCCTCCTCAGCTTCAGATGGAACTTCCCACCTTCCAGCTCCTGCCCATGGCCCCTTCTCCTGGCCCTGGACACCCCTGAGCACAGCCTGGTCCCCCCTCCTCACACTCCCTGGAGACATTGATCAGCACTGAGGAGATCCCTCCTCAGGCTCCTCTTCTCCAGCTGAGCAGCCCCAGCTCTCCCAGCCTTTCCTCACAGCCAGATGCTCCAACTCATCATCTCCATGGCCCCATTTTCACGCGGCTCAAACGTTAATGAACAGGCATCACCTGGGGGGGGGGTGGTGCTGGGATGGTTTGAGGTACCCACCCCAGGATGCTCCACTCCTTCCCTCTCTCCTCCTCCCTAGTATCACACTTCACCTGAAGATCTCGTGCCCATCCTCTCCTGCATTTAACTACTCCCGAAGCCCCATGTGCTCCGTGCCCCAGGTGAAGATCGAGATGGAGTCGGACTATGAGGACACGGACACCGAGAAACCACCCCGGGACATGGGCAGTGAGACCACCCTATAGCCCCCCCAGCACTTCCTCTGCCTTTTATATATATATATAGATATTTCTATATTCATATATATATATATAAAGGAAACGGGGCTGATTGTTCTCTCTCAGAAGGAGAAGGTCCCCGGGGTCGGTGGCTCCCATAGTTTTTAGCGTCACGAGTTCCAACCTGGTGTTGAATTTTTCCTCCCTCTCTGCCCAGCGCAGGTGGTGCCCCCGGTGGCGAAACGGGGTTGAAAAGGTGGAATTGGTGATTTTATTTATTTTTTTATTATTTTTTTTTGGCCTCTGCTCCCCCTGGAGCTGCTGCTGGAGAAGCTGGAGGTGGTTGGGGCTGGGGGAGCAGCAGGGATGTTGCTGGGGAAGGGGGTGATGTTTGTGGAGGGGGATTCTTGGGGTGGGGAGGAGGTTTCCATGGGTGAGGAGGGAAGGGGAGGACAGGTCCCTGCTCCACAGTTCCTGCAATTGCTCTTGGAGAGGCTGGTTTTGGGAAGAGGAGGAGCTGGTGGGGTTTTGGGTTG